TTTGAATCGAACATCTCTTACGCAGAGAAAATGAAAGCTTTTGACACTGCTTCCAGATGGTATGATAGTAGATGTAAGTGATCTAACGGGAGACTAACCATGTGTTTGAGTCGAGTTCATGGACTGTTGACCTAGGTCAAGCAAACTGCTATAGTATGTTCTTTGTTTACCTAGTGTTGACATGATCAAGTTGAAATAGCTAGCTTGGCATTCGAAAGTCCAGGCTAGTGAGGAGAAAGGCTCTAAAATGAGCAAATATAGAAGGAAGCATTTTAATTCAAAAATACATTGATATTTCGGAATGAAAATGCAGAAGTGCATTTGGTTAATATGTTGTGGTAAGATTGGATTAAATGAGAATAGATTTAATTATCTGTTGATGGGATATGTTTCAAAAGCAGCTTTGCATCTTAAATAGAGTGTTGTAAGAAAAGTTTAATACACTCAACATTATTCGATAAGCAAGAAATTGTCAGCAGTTTACAAGAGAATTACACACTTCTGGTCAACATAGTCAAACTATTTTCCAGCGTCGCTTGTTTGGCCTATAACATGAAATTCCCTTGCCATTTCTAAATAATTCATGGTTTAGGGAATAACCCTGTGTTTAAATGCTATCACGTAATATAAATTATGTTTTCTGCTGCATGCAATTAAAGAAAGTTAATTTTGTTATATTTATTCATACAATTGTGCTCTGTTTCTAATCAAAGAATTATCAGGTAAATCCAGTTTTAAGGGGGAACATGCAACATGATTCTATTTAAAGAACATATGATTTATAAAACAAAGTATGCAGGGGACATTATTCAGTGTACTAGCTTATGGTAAGTATAATTGTTTTATTTATTTATATTTAATAATCTTAAGCACTATTTATAGAAGCACCCATGATTAATTACAGTGACCCTCTGTAATAATTTTCTGGATTAGGTCTGAAAAAAATGAGTGTTCATAATTATCCGTATAAAATCTTTTTCTCAAAATAACGTGTGAGTTTTGTTTTGGCTAGTTAAGGCTGATAGACATCATATATGATCTCTATTTGTAAAACCAACGCTGCCGTTACTAGATACCAGATATGAATCTTCACATTTTTAAAATTTTTAATATAGAGATATAGATGACAACATATTAGTCAGAGATTACAAATAAGTGAGGGCATTTAAAGAAGAAACAATGACAAAACCATCTTCTTAGCTGATACATGAACTCTCAGTGACATCCTGGACATTGCTGATCCCTATTTGACAGTGAGCAAGCTGAGTCATCAATGTAGAACACTGTGCAATTGAGGTATGGCTGTATGTGAAGTAAATAATTGAGTTGACAATATTCGTAAAGACTATTAACAAAAAGAAAGTAACATATTGATGGAAACCAAAAGGGTCCTGCGTGAGGATCAAGAACGTTAGGTTGCTACTTGGGGAAAGAGAGACAAGACCGAGATCATTAGTGAGAGTGTTAAATAGCATCTGTTGTCAACCAGTGTTCTGACATGTTAGTGGTTGTTTTTGGAGAAAGGAGAGCCATGGCACCCACACCTTGGAATATTATGAGTATCTGCAAGTTAGAGAGTGGCATAGCTTGTCCATTACCTTTATGCTTTCGACCTTCTGTATCCAGTCCCTTATTGAGGGTGGATTTACCATTTTCCATAAAATAGCAATAAGCTGGTTTGCAACTGTCAACAAGTTTTTCACTACGGAGGTTTTAAGTTTATGCAGAGAATTTGGGCACAGGAAAAGAGTTACTGCCATGGGAGTTAGTGGGAGCATTGAACATTTGTAATGATGTAACTGAATGACAATATACGGTTCCAGAATAGAGCATTGCCACCATATGTGTGAAGACGTATGGATTCACTTTTATGTTGTCTCATGTCAAATGGTTATCACCTGGAAACAAAGTCCCAATAGTGTTCAATAGTTCCTATAGAGCAGGGAAGACCAAAAGGCAGATCTTCAACTGCTGTACACCTCCCATTATGCTTTGCCAGCTGTGTATCTACATATCTACCATTTGCCCATTTGTATTAGCCCATTAGGGTTGTATTTGTGTGCAGTGCTTGTGTGTGAACGTAGGCATTTTTTTGTATGGAGTATGTATGTGTGGATGCGTTTGGGTAGGTGTATAATGCTGAGGTTTGAATGCAGGGGTGTGTATTTTGCAGTTATAGTGTTTGAATGTATGGGTGTGTGTTGTGAGGTTGTGTTGTGTTAGTGTTTGAAAGCAGGTGTATGTTTGTGTACAGTGTGGACATTTGAATGCTAGGATGTGTTTGTGTCTAGTTTTTTAATGTACAGGTGTGTTTGTTTGCAAAGTTTGTGTTTGGATGCAGGTGTGTATTCACATTTAAACATTAATTACCAAATACATACAGATGCCTATTACAACACACAAAAACCTACAAACACTGTCACACAACGATACGCACATACACTTCCACACACAGGTGGCAACTGAGTCAATGAGTGTGGGTACCAATCATGATGTATTGTCTTGTATGCCCCTGAAGGAAGTGTTGTGTATGTTGTAAAAATAGGAAAAAAAAATAAAACAAAACAAGGGCTACAAAGGACACAAGGAGCTCTCTAAGGGAATAAATGTATATATTTGAAAAGAACTGTTGAAAGTAGAAGGGAATCTAACTTTAATTCAAATTTTAACTATTAAACTTTATTTTAAATTAGATGTAAATACCTTCCCTAGTCATTCAACTTTAACTGTGTACTAAAGTAAATAAAGTAAATAGTGTATTCCAAATGGACTGAGGCCAACAAGTTTGGGTAGTTATTGGACATGTGCATTTGTTGCATTCTTAAATGAATCAATGTATTTGAAGACAAATCGATGTCTAATATAGTTACCCCTTTGGACTTGTTTTTAGTCTGATATATCAGTTTAAAACATAATTGAAAGGTGTTCGATGCCGGATTAATTAATTTGTTAAAAGAACATTGCAACGAATGCACATGTCTAGTAGTTATTACCAGTTGTCACAAATCTCTGGTGTCTCAGCCAGTATTTTCTGGAGTAAAATAAATTATCAGTATTTTCGTCCAGCAGCAGCTGGAATGCCAAGATCGAGCACATCTAGACACTCTGCTCTCTAGAAAAGAATTACTAATGACCTAATCGCAGCTAAATCCAAAGGTCACTACTCCATACTAATTCTCCTTGACCTCTCTGCTGCCTTTGACACCGTTGATCACGCTCTCCTCCTTCAAACTTTTCAGTCGCTTGGTCTCTGCGACTCTGTCCTCTCATGGTTTTCCTCTTATCTCTCCCAACCCTCATTCAGTGTCTCCTTTTCCAAGGATACCTCCTCCCCTCGTCCTGTCTCGGTTGGAGTTCCCCAAGGCTCTGTCCTTGGTCCCCTTCTATTTTCTCTTTATACTGCCTCTCTTGGCAAACTTATTGCCTCTTTTGGACTCCACTACCACCTGTATGTTGATGACACTCAGATATACCTCTCCTCCCCGGGCCTCTCCCCTGCCGCCTTGCAACGTGTCAGTGCTTGCCTTTCTTCCATCTCTGACTGGATGTCCTCGCGCTTTCTGAAACTCAATCTCTCTAAAACTGAGCTCATTGTCTTTCCTCCTCCTAATACTGATCCTCCTCTCTCGCTCTCCCTTCAAGTCAGTGATATCCACAGAAGCCCATCCTTGCAAGCACGCTGTCTTGGTGTCATACTTGACTCTGGAGTCTCTTTTGAGCTTCACATCCAGTATGTTGACAAATCCTGTATATACCAACTGAAAAACATAGCCCGCATCCGCCCCTTTCTTACGCAAGATGCTACCAAGGAGCCCTAGTAATTTCCTGCATGGATTATTGTAACCATCTCCTGATTGTTCTCCCCAAAAGCGGTATTGCCCCACTACAATCTGTAATGAATGCCGCCGCCAGACCCTTTGCCAGTCCTTACATTGGCTCCCTGTATCCTATAGGAGTCAATTAAAAGTGCTAACCCATACATTTAAAGCACTGAACAATTCTAGCGCGTCTTATATCTCTTCACAGATCCAAAGGTATGCCCCTCCTCGTTCCCTCCGCTCTGCCCATGACCACCTCCTGACCGCTGCTCGCACCTGTACGGCCAACTCACGCTTGCAGAACTTTTCGCGGTCGGCTCCTTTCCTATGGAATAGCCTGCCTACCCCCATCAGACTCTCCCCTAGTCTTCAATCCTTTAATAAGTGCCTTAAAACCTATCTCTTTAAGAAAGCTTATGGCCTCCTAGAGTAACCTCTACCTTATAAACCTATCTCTTGCTCTCTCCTATAGGGTAGTGCTTTACTCTCTCCTCCAGCTCTGCTTCACTCCCACCCTATTTGATTGATATTTCCTGTCCGAACGTGTCTTATACCCCACCTCCTATAGACTGTAAGCTCGCTTGAGCAGGGTCCTCTTCAACCTATTGTTCCTGTAAGTTTTCTTGTAATTGTCCTATTTATAGTTCCTTCCCCCTCTCATAATATTGTAAAGCGCTACGGAATCTGTTGGCGTTATATAAATGGGTATAATAATAATAATAATAATAATAATAATTATGGGAATGGTAGTCCAGCAACATGCAAATCTACAAGGATTACCAGCCTAGGATTAAACAGCCTAATGAAAATGTATCATTATCTTTAAGTGCACAATAACAAAATTCTAATTGATGCTACACAGTTTTATAGGGAAGATGTCATCATACAAAATAAATCAAAACTCTTTTTTAACAATGCCAACTTTTTAAATTCTTTATTTATTGGTGCACACTAACTGACAATTAAGTTGGGCCACTATTCTGTAACTCTGACACCATTAGAGGGACATCCTAGGTTTGGTTCTGCAAAGATTGCATGATCAACTTTCAGCTCTGCATGCAATGCTCCCCATAGATGTGTATTGACTCAAAATATTTCTGTGAGAAGATGTTGAATAGGGGGGAGTGTACCTCTTGGACCCACATGCAGATTTTGGAGTCCACCACTTGGCCCCACATGCAGAATGTGGAGTGCACCACTTGGACCCACGTACAGACTGTGGAGTGCACCACTTGGACCCACGTGTAGATTGTGGACTGCACAACTTGCCCCCACATGAAGACTGTCGAGTGCACCACTTGGACCCACATATAGACTGTGGAGTGCACCACTTGGACCCACATGTAGATTGTGGAGTGCACCACTTGAACCCACATGCAGATTGTGGAGTGCACCACTTGGACCCATGTGTAGATTGTGGACTGCACAACTTGCCCCCACGTGTAGATTGTGGACTGCACAACTTGCCCCCATGTGCAGACTGTGGAGTGCACCACTTGCCCCCATGTGCAGATTGTGGAGTGCACCACTTGGACCCACGTATAGATTGTGGAGTAATCCACTTGGAACCAGTTGGAGACTGTGCAGTAATCCATTAGGACCCAAATGCAGACTGTAAAGGTACATATTTGAGCATTGTCTGTAGTTAGGTTTAACAGTCGTTGGTATAAATTATAGTCTCTCATAATTTTTTCCTTTGCTTTTCCTCTATCAAGTATATTTATTCTTTGTTATAAATGAAAGAGAATCAATACAAAAAGATTAAAACTATTTTTCTATTATGTATTTATCGAACAAAAGTTTTAATTCTTTCTTTTCCGAAAACAAGTAATTATCCATTTAAGTGCCAAATGCAATGTATTACTCTCTCCGCAGTTACTCAATAGAGCTAATCTGTTTCCTTTTTTCACTTTAAAAAAAAAAAAAATTATTTATACATTTTTCTGTGTCTATGTGTTTACAAGAATTTAGCACCTGGGGAAACAGTTTTACATGCCAAAGATTTAATTATACATACGCCTTTAAATGTCTTGTCCACTGGGAAATGGCTCTCTCTGTTCAGCTCAGAGAAGCAGTAATTGTCCCAACATTCTGTAGGGAAAACCAAAGGACAGTTAACAGACCATTTTCTTTCACAAATGTCCAAATGAGAGGTAGTCAGTGCAGTAAAAAATAACGGAAACTAAAACAGATGCTTTTAATTATCCTAAAATTTAAGACAGGCACATGTGACCAAATAATCTCTAGGAATTATTTTTGCTTTAGAAGGAGTTTCCTTCATTCCATTGGGGATATTTCCAAAAATACTAGATACTGATGCATTATTTTTTTTTTCAAATCCTCGAAGCCAAGATGGATTTGTTACAAGTTTATGTTTTGTTGTTATGTTCAGGGTTTTCTGACGGATATTTCTATGTGTTGGAGAATGTCCATGGAAAAAATCCTGTTTCCTGTCTTCTTCAGGTCTTACGCAGTAACGATCGATTGTATCGATCGCGTATCACTAGCATAAATGGTATCATTGCATACTGCAATACTCTTTTTGTTTTGGCTGTTTGCATTCACACAGATCGCCCGATCTAACATGACAAATATGTATTATATTTTATATTGTAAAAAGAGCTGCATGTTAGAGTAAAAACCAGCGGAAAGGATTCTAAAGTCCTTTTTGTCCGATATATCTAATTATATATTCATCTCTTTGTAACAATAACTGTGATCATGACCATTTTAAAATTACTCTAGATAGAAATGCATTGTAGGAAATGTTATATATATAAAAAAAAGTAAAATTAATAAATAAATATTTATTTTATTTTCCTTGAACACATTCTCTGCTTTATTCCTATTTCATGTCCCAGATATGAACCTGTGTTTACACATTTTAAATAGATTGTACATATCACTTTCTAAGACACCATAAAACCCTGGTTCTGGCAGAGGGTTTTTTTGTAATGTACTCTGCAGGAAGATGTAGTTAATGCTTTATTTCTTGCTATGCACAGATCCCTTTTGTCTGATTACTACTAAAAATGATAACCGTTGTCATCAACCATTTTGTTGGGATAGAAATCACTAGAATTCTTCATACCTTCATCACATGAAGAGCCCAGGTCTTAAACATTTTACAATTATTTTTATTATTCAAATAAACAAAAATATATAACCATTATGCACAATATTCACAATGCACAATATTCTACAATCGTAAAACATATTCACAAAATAGTGACTAAATTAGGTTGGTGCTTTGTACAAATATAATACTTATAATAATATGTAATGTAATGAAATAAAGGTTTATTTAACTCACCACAAATTGGAATTAGAAAAGTTCACCTATTTATTCTGATTTTTGGAAATTCCTACACAACTCACCCCTGGTCACTGTTTAATGCAGGACCAGACTTCCCATTAGGCACACAATGCCCTGTCTACAGGCACATGTCCCATAGGGGGCACTTGTTTTTATCATATATAATGTACCTTTTTGTACTGGTGGGGAGGGATAAGTACCCAGATCCTTGGCTAGTGTCCTATGTAGTCCAGTCAGCCTCCTATGCTTGATAGCAGAGTTGCAGAAACTGTTATAGAGGGTATAAAATGCTCAATTCTATCCCAGCTCCTGCGTCTGTGTGTGAGTCTGGACAGGAAGTGGTAGGGATCACTTCCTATCTGCCCTCTAAGAGCCTCTCACACAGGAAATACCTTGCAGGAGGAACAGGGACAGCACTGAGTGCTGCACACTGTATATTATTTACTGCAGTTTTAGTACCACAGAAGGGTTACTGGATTACAGAAGACATAAGAGGGTGAAAACTTTGCATCCCACATTTAAGCACTAGAAGCCTAATCTTTGAAGAATTTTTTTTTATCTTAATATTAAATTTAACATCTCTTGAAAACTAAACGTCCCATGTACCCCTAATTCTAAACGTAATCAGCTTAATGATTGTGAACACCTGTCCCCAAATACCAAATTTCCCCCCCATTATATCCCTAAATCCAATAATACTAAACCCTTTTTGTACCTCAACTGTAACAGATTCCCTAACTAATCTAACTCTGATGTTAATCCCTCTAAACCTTATATCCCCTTTATCCTAATCACTTCTAACATTATTTTACTCTGCAAGTATTTACATAGCTGTGTACACTCGCATTCTTAGTAGAAATATGCGCGCACACACACGCACACACACACACACATATATATATGCAATTTTCAAATATGAATATATGTTTTTAAGACATTTCTATGCCCACAATGACCAGTTGATAAATTCATTCAACATAATTTATCTGCGTTTTTTGGAAGGACAATGATGGGCAAGCTGGGGGAGGGCTCCTAAAAATTCAGGTGAGGTATTTGACATGTAAATCTTTACCTGGTTTCATGAATATCCCATCTATATGGGGAGTAAAATTATGTCAAAGTGTAAAATACAGATCCATGCTGTAATCTACTTTATCACACTGAAATTGTTTCCAACGACCGTGTGCAAGATGTTAGAGAAATGCCAAACAATAGAAAAAGGTTTTCACAAAAATAATTGGTGATTTATTTATTTTTTGTAACCGGTGATTTATGGGTCTATTTAGAAAGGAAGACCTTGACAGTTCCTGGAAAAAAAAAGTACTTCCTTACGTTCAACCCCTGGGATCATATAGGAAATAATAGAGATTCCTTCAATCCCGTGGTGAGCAGAAAATAGGCATAGATATTATGGACTAATGAGGAAGGCAACTAGCGTGATGATAGAATGATTAACATTTTATTTTTAATCCTGTGAAGTTCCTGCAGTGATATACTCGTAATTACATACATTACTGAAGCTGAATCAATTTTTCAGGACCAGCAAACCGCAAGAAAAAGAAAAAAAAAAAGAAATAGAAAACTGGACTCACACCAGATTTTTATAAAAACAATCTGTTAAAGCCATTACTACACACGTGCGATTAGCTTGTCCTGCCTGTAAATGTATGTTTACAAGCTTAAGGACTCTTTTCTATATACAACATGGTCTGGTTTCCTCAAACACATGTTGCGTTGTACGGACGTTAGTAGGTGGTAACATAAATCCTTACTGAGAAAAATCCATTCAACTGTCAAGAAGGGTGCCATGTTCAGGACTAAAAACTGAAATCACAGAGAATTATAGGATCATTTTAATAAAAAAAAACAGTAATTGCTATAGTAATAAGGTGCATTTTTAAATGATCACTGTAGTGTCAGGAAAACAAACTTGTTTTCCTGACACTATATAATAACCTTGGGGGACCCTCACCCTCAGGGTCCCCCTCCCGCTGGGCTGAAGGGGTTAAAACCCCTTCAGCCACTTACTTTAATCCAGCGCCGGGCTCCCTCGGCACTGGTGACCTCTGCTCCCCCTCCGACGTCACCTCCCAAGTAGAGCAGAATAAGCATGCGCGGCAAGAGCCGCACGCATTCTAACAGTCCATAGGAAAGCATTTGTCAATGCTTTCCTATGGACGTTCTGCATGTTGAATGCAAATTTCGCATCCAGCGTCGCAGATGCGCCTCTAGCGGCTGTCAGGAAGACAGCCACTAGAGGTTGGATTAACCCTGCTATGTAAACATAGTAGTTTCCCTGAAACTGCTATGTTTACATGTGAAGGGTTAAAACCTGAGGGACATTGCACCCAGACCACTTCATTGAGCTGAAGTGGTCTGGATGACTAGAGTGTCTCTTTAAGTTTAGGGGCATTGAAACAACAACAAAAAAGATCTGCCCAGTTGAGCAAGTTGTATTCTTAGATAATGTCATCCTTGCTATCGGAAACCATTAAGACACACCCTATCTCTCCTTATAGATATAAGCATGTGTTGTGTGTGTGTAGACACTCTCTCTCTCCCTATAGATATATATACGTGTTGTGTGTGAGTGTGTAGATACTCTCTCTATAAGCATGTGTTGTGTGTGTTTGTGTTTGTGTGTGTAGACACACTCTCTCTCTCCCTATAGAAATAAATATGTGTATGTATATAAAATTCCAAAATTCTGCAGGTCAGACAAGCAAGAGATGTTTGATGGAAAAAAGATGATTGATATTTGGGGGCAATCACCGAGTTTTGATTTTATTAATATATTCACACATCAAGTGAAAGGTAAGCAATGCAGGTAGAAAGGAGAAGCAGTAAAACAATATTATTATTATTATATTTATATATTATATATATTTTTTAATTATTATTTTATAGCGTCAACATATTCTGCAGTGCTTAGAGTAAATAAAGAGAGTCAGTATTGCATCTTTCTGGGTTTGTGGACTGAGGCCTAAGGATCAGAGATGAGACACAGTTATAGGAAGGTATTTACAACTAGGCGGGGCAAAAGAAGGAGGCCGAGTGGGAATGCGTAGAGCAGACATGGTGTATACAGGCCTGGACTGGCCATCGATGTCCATGGGCCAAGGCCGGCAAAGGAGGTCAAAAGATCTCCCTCATCAGCCCACAGGTGGTGTAATGAGGCCGCCGGCGGGGGAGGGAGAGGAGGACCCGGAGGAGCTCTATCTTGCAGCTCCGCCGGATTCTTCATGCTCCTGGTCTTGCAAGAGTGAACTCTAGACCCACAGG